GCAGCCAATTGACAAATTGCTATATATAGATATAATAAAGGCTGTGAGATAGGAGACAAGACGTGTAAAGTCTAATGGCGGTTCCGATGCTAAAACGGGAAACCAATATAAACCAATATAAAAGAACTGCTACAAGGATAAAAATATTAAAAAATGTGATAATTGTATAACTTATTCGTGAATCAATGAATAAATCTTATACAAAACAGGACGAATTTAAGAAAAGAATTATAAAAAAAATAAAACAGCAGGAGCTTACTCATCAAAATCTTTGTCATCTTCCGCTTGAAAGTGATATGTCCGATTATCTAGAGAATTAAAAGATAAATCAAGCCTTGAAATAAAAGTTTAAAATATACAAGACCAAGATGATTACATTAATTATAGCACTAAAACCAAGAGAGGATATTATCTATTACTTTATTAATTATGAGTTTTGCCAAAAGCACGTTGATTTAATTCTGTTAATAGAACCACTGAGAATACAGGTAGTAAACCGTATAAGATGGAAAGAATAAGACAATCGTGAATTAGAGCTCAGTATCGGATAAAGTATTTAAAGTAGAATAGATAAATAGTTTTAACTAAACCTCGTGCGTGTTCACACTATTTACCGTATCTATTGTTAATGACATAATTTATCAATGTAAAAATATTAAGCTTTGCTTAATATTTTAGCTAATATGATCTAACGAAGTTGAGCTAACGTTCGCTCTAAAGCTTATGCCTCATTTATCGGAATTATAGTGTACATAGGCACTAGATCGAAACTTACCGTTAAATCGCTACTTGCTTTAGAGCAAAAAACTTTACACAAGTTTTTTTATTCCATTTGCGTAAATTTGTCGTTGTCGGGGTGGCCTAGGTGTAGACAGCTTGTCCAAAGTCCTCTCATAAAAGTTATGATAATTCGCAAGGCCGGAACGTGAGCCTGATACATTCCCAAATGTTTCACCGGCATCAAAGTTGGCACTCTCAGTAAGCGTTGTCATTATTGTCTCTGACACGATGTTCCTTGTGCTAAGAATGGCAAGATTCACTGAATATACCGGCGAAAAATCTAGGAATGTACAAACTCCACGGACCAACTTCGGGAATAAATAATAAAAACTATAGCAGAGGACTTCGGACAGCACGTGTTCATCTAGATATGAAAACCAAGATGGTGAGATGTTCTGTTTAGTCGCAGTCTCCTTTAGCTTTATAGTGTTGGTCCGAACTTATTTTTGCAACTTGGTCAGAGCGTCAGGTAAACCTTGTAAGACGTATATAGTCCCATGTCCTCTACCGTAGTAGTAGTGATTTCCAGCATTGGACCATTGGCTGGCGACCTTACCAAACGTTTCGCCGGCATCCTAGTCGGTATTATCAGTGATTCATCATCGTAAACACAGAGTTATAACATATCAAAGTGGCAAGTAAAAGCAATCCTTTTGACCAATCTTCTGTTCAGGGATTGCAACATCACTCGTCACCCCTATTTTTTTTGTTCTACCTTCTAGTACCGACTCTCTTTCTCTAAACCCCACTTCATTTTATACGTATGTGGAAGATAACGGACTTTCGCCTTTACTGCATGTGGAGATCAATTGCTTATAGGAAACTCTCAAGAAAAGACTTTTCCTAAAGAAATCGCATGCTGGAATAACTCTTAAATAACAGTCGAATAAGGATTAGAATACTTCAGAGTATGGTCATTGCCTATGACTCCATAATTCTGAATTAGGGAAAGAAGAATTGGGAAAACTAACTCAGATGTTTCCTTGAAAGAGATAGCCAGAAGAAGCAATAGAACGCAACATGCGGATGATGTTGAAAAGATAGGACGGAGATTATAAAAAGAAGGCAAGAGGAACAGAAGAAAAACGATGGATATCTAACCTCCTGCGAATTGGCTCGGAAGCAACGGTCGATACTAGGGGAATGGAACACTCGAACAATCCTGAAGGAAAGGAAAGCCCTCTTCACCCTCTTGCCCAGACAACGTGAAGATGTCAACAAAATGGAGTTCTTCGGAGTTTACAGCATAAACTGCATGGAGTGTAAACAAAAATGCATTGGAGACGGGTAGGGCAATCATCAAAATGATCAAAGAACACCAGCGACTATGCAGAAAAATGGACAGGGAAAGATCGGAGATAGCTAAACACATCACCATTACCGGTAACACAATTGAAAGGAATGCAACGGAAATACTGGTTTCATATAAAGAAAACACCAGGAACGAAAGATGAGGGAGGCTGCGGATATCCTATTTTTAAGATACCTGATGATGAGACTGGAGGAGGAAAGAGTCAGAGATAATTTAGCATACCTCCTGGGCAGACTTGGAAATTCAGCGAAGACATCAAAAAGAAGACGCTTGGAGCCATAACATCTGTTCAACACCAGGAAGAGACATCATCAAAGAGCGGTTCATGATGAGCAAAGGTAAGTCAAGGAAAAGCGACTGTAGTGAGAAGAGTCAAACGTGGAATGACCGAAAAAAATTATCCAGAAGGATGTACCTGCGAAACGTAGGATATGAAATTAAAAGCTTAAGCTATAGGTGGGCTTAATAAATGTGAGTGTGTAGGTGTTTGTGCGTATTTTTAGTGTATCTGCCTGAAGAGGTGACTGGTGACAGGCTTGACCACGGAAGATACCAGCCAGTACACACACAGGGACATCATCCCAGTACCCTAGGATTAGATAGGAATGTCAACTTGAAAAAAAGGAGTGCCTTTCGTGATTCAAATGGAAAAAATGGAAGCGGTGTATTTTCAAATCAGCAGTTATGACTTAAACGGAACACAGGGCTCCAAATAATGAGAAATAATGGGGATGGGGATGAGGTAGAGGATAATCGAATCAAGAATTTGAAGCCTAGGAAGAAAAAGATTCACAAACACCGGCATGGCCATTATCTGCTCCAGATCCTCAAATATGACGTAATCGAGGACAGGAATCGAAAGCTCTTAGGTAGCCAGATTTAAGACAGCAAAATAGTGATTATGATGTTTTTCAGCGGCAAATTGACAAGCGGGTATGAAAAAAAAGTGAGGCAGAATGTAGGTCAGGAGCCCTTCAGACGGCATCTGGTACCGGTGGTGGAGATGATTACGCTTCACGCACTTGTAACGGCATAAACTTAGATGACATTGGAGGAATCGGGAGCAAAGAATTATGTGATTAAGTGGATGGGCCATATTAAGTGGGGTTGAGATAAAGAAATGATACACTAGAAGGCAGAACAAAGCAATACGGACGAGGAGTGATGCCACAACGGTTGAACAGAAAAGTGGCCAAGGGAATTGACTTCAATTGTCACTTTGATAATTTGTGACTGCGCTTACGATGGCGCTTCTCAATTATGATTCCGACTATGAATTCGGCGAAACGTTTGGGAATGTACTGGGCTAATGGTCCAATGCTCGAAATCACGAATACTATGGCAAAGACATGGCATGTTTCACGAGGTCTCCTGGCGTTCGTATTAACTTGCGAAAACAAGGTCAACCAACACTAAATTGTTTTATAACGATTTCACAGCTAATAATAACTTAAATACCGGATTAAAGAGGTACACAAATATGTGAGTGATGTCTATACATCAAAAGAAAAATGAATAAATGGATAATGAGGGAGAAAGCTAAAATATACAAATATCAAAATTAATTAATTAACCTATATAAGAATCTGCATTTTCATTGTGTAATTGGGAAAATGCCCTATGCACCAAAAGGCGAATGGAAAAATACAAAGAAACTCACTTGATACTAAGTCAAACTCGCGACGTGATGAGGCCCCATCACCAGAGGAGTATGCAACTCCAGTGAATTCGCTAGGAGATGAGTTAGACGTTATCCCTCCTTGATCAAGTGCCCCTGTTGCCCCGGCCATCAAATCAGCAGATAAAGTTGTCGCTGTTAGTTCACTGCCTTGGGGGCATTGTACAGGACTGCAGGAAGCCTGGACGCCAGCAAAACTAGTAGAGGAAGTAAGCGAGGTAGGAGACATGACCGCAGCTCCGCCTAGAAGTAGGCCGGGAACCAAGCTAGCAGATGAAGCTGAAGTGGCAGTTGTGAAGGTGGGCTGATGCTGCTTCACTTGGCAGGTAAGCAAAGCCAGCTTTACAGGCGCCTTTGACTCGTCGGCATGATAGAGCCAGAGCTGGCCGTCGGCCAGATGTACGCGTCGGCGCTGCCAGACACGCTTCACCTGATCATTATTGTTAATAGGCAGAGAGAAATGATATGTAGACAGCGTTGGATTAAGTGAATGGAAACAGGCAAGAAGATAATCACTGATCGCCGTGTAAGGAAGTAAAAGCTGAAGACTAATGTTAGATGATAATAGGATAATTGCAATCTTTAATATCTATTAGTAACAGGTTTAAAGAAACAAAAACGGTTAAGAAATAGCAATTTCAATGAAATAAGTAAGGAATAAGAGGTTTTTTCGCATAAATGCATCAACTAGTGACAGAAAGCATGTTATAGGTATATAAAAGGTTAACTATATAAAATATAACAAATCACAAATATATGTAAGCCAATAGCAAATATATCCCCACATGGTTGGGATCCGTTGATATACACAAAGAATTGAAGTAGGCTATAGCAAATAATTAAAAAAACGTTAAATATAGGAAGATATCTAGATATGTAATAGAATACTGGCAGAATAGGATAAAAAAGAATAGTATTAATAAATAAAAGTTCAAATCAAGGAAATCCTGATCCGATAATGAAGGATACTTCTGAATGTGGGGCAATGCGTCATAGTTCAAAGTTGACTGCAGATTCCACTCTTATTGTAAATAGGTATCTTTGAGGCCGAAAGCCTAAGTGAAACTCCATGAGACATACATCCTTAGCACTGATAGTATTACTTATACCTAACTATACTGAAATAAAAATTGTTTCCTATTAGCTTCGCTCAATAAAGAGGATACATAACAATGAATTATTCTAACTTAATGTTGAGTTTGTGCGTATATCAAAACATGGAACAAAAAGAGGTAAATTAAACAAAAAATGTGAAAAAACGAGATATCAACAATTAGTCAAAATAAAGTATATAAAATGAGGGATCCAGAAATCTAAAAATTAAATAGGTTTGGATGCCACTTTATTCGTCGACTCACCTTTCCATCAGATTTTTTCAGCAGAAAGCCACTCTTCCGTGTCCCTAGGGCTCGGTTTGTCTGAGTAAACTGAGCAGGATACGAGACATTAGACATCGAGGCCTGAAGTCGAAGGTGAAATATGAATCATTAGAACATATAAAATGAAGCCCAAATAATCAAGGTAAAGTAAACTAATATCAAAATTAGAAACAAATAAAAGAACAACCCAGTGGGGATAGAGATGTGGAATAATGTTAAAACCAAAAAGGCATACATGGAATAAGGGCATGCAAACATGAATTTTGCACCAATGATAGGATTGAAAAAACTCGGAAAATTAGGTAATACTAAACATAGCAACCAATAAATTTTTGAATGTTTTTGTATAGGTTTAATAATAACAGAAGGAATTTCCAGGTAGCCAGAGATTGCAGAATGCAACCACATGAATCATAAAAGAAAAGTAATGACAAAAATTGGGGATAGATAGGAAAACGAACGTATGTGTGCGTTTGTATGCACGGGGGGAAACAGAGAATTAATGTAGTACAAGATGATTAAAAAGAAGAGCTTCGGGATTATGGGATCAGATAATAAAGCAAATGAGATATCCATTATTTGATCTTTGTAGTACAAGCGCAGTTAAAGGAGAATGAAAAGCAGAGACAATTTACATTTAAAAAATGAAGCGAATATTATGTCTTTAATGAGCAGATCTTGATACTAAATATGGAACTTGAATAAGAACTGTGCTTACCCTAAGTTGCCTATTTAAAATATAATTTGAACTACAGCGAACATTAATTGGCAGACAGAGTCTACACTGCCAATACACTACCGCCAAATGATGGCTAAGAATCTGAGGCAAATTTTAAACAAAAATAGAGATAAAGAAATTGATTAAAAATTAATCATCCAAGTCAAAATATACGGGGCTCATTAATAATCCTACTCGTCAGCTACTTGATTACTACCGAGTGTAGGTCTCATTTGGATGCAGAACGATCGGAAATCAAAAATACCAAACAAGAACATTCAGGGACAGTGAAAATATAGGATTTGAGGCATTCAGTTAATCCATAATAACTAATTAGCAGGTAAATAATTTATCACAAATAGAAAGTCATACAGTCATTTTATGAAAATAAATAGGATTCTATACAACAATAAAAATAGCAGTAGTGAAAAATACAGATTCGAATGGACATTATTGTAAAACTCAAGCCAATTGTTGGTACTGCAGTAAGACTGTTTTCTTTCAAAAGAAAGGCGGTGTAATTTAAAAGAGACAGTTATTTTAATATTCGCTTTAAGAAATACAAAGCAAAGAGCCGAGTAAATTTTTGCGATAAAAAAGTTGCATTTAGAGACCTCATAATGCACAAAAAATAATAAATACAAATCCAGTAGATCGAAGATGAATTGATTTATCTTTACATTAATTTTTAAAGATAAGGTATTAGGCAGCATTGAAAATACTTGTTGCTTTTGAGTCTTTAAAATTAAGCGATTATATATTTTACTCTAGCCTCAGCAACTGAAATATCGGCAGCCAAATATTTACCTGGCCACCCAGGATAGTTAGCAATTTAAATTTGGTAGACAAGATGTGAAAATATAGCACAATGAATCGATTTAATGAGGAAGACAAAAATACGAATCCTAAGGAGCAAGGAAAAGCGGACGTTAATTGGAGAATTTTTAGGTGTCTATGTGATTAAATGAGGAAGCCTTATTGTACCATAGAAGATTATTTGACCTAGGTTCTATAAAGGCACTATCACCAGTCTAAATAAATGAATGCAAATCTTAAATTTGGTCATATATGGGAACGAATATAAAAAAAGTGGGTCTGCAAATACATAAAATAATATGCGCCAAGACGGCTACGAATAGGATATAGGGGATTAAAAGGGAGCGTCATAATCAAATATCTCGAGTTCGGCCAGTGAGCACGGGGAAAGCGCTCAGGATCACTGGTAACTCCTCCATAGGAGCAAAAAATAAAGAATAGGTCCGCCGAATCAAGGCCGAATACAAGACTCAAAATGCAGCCCTATTTATTTTTTAGTTTTTCAAACATATTCTTTAGTGACTTTGAAAAAGTCAGTAGTGCCGAAATTCTAATCGAGTATTGTTGTAGGAAAGGCAAACCTTGGGATATGTAAGCTCAATTGATGGATTCAATTTCGACTTAGATAGATGAAAAGGTTAATTTAAGCCCTCAGATGAAAATCAATTTCAGTGCAACTAGTAGAATGGAATTCCGAAGCGAGCCTCAATCTTTGGTAGAGAAATTATCCATGAATAAAATAACAATCAGACAATGACATTTTTCAATTCTTAATATGAAGGACAGCCTTTGAAACAAAGCAAAAGCCTTCACGTTTGCCTGTAAATATCAAGTCATTAAAAAATCATTTAATTATCTCATGGTTAAGTGATTTAAGAGACCTTTCTGAAAAGCATAATGCAAAATGGGGTTCATATAGCTTTTCAAATCATAAGTGGGGGATAAACCAAACAATCTCAGAGGCTTATTACAGCAATAGTTTGATAAAAATTAAA